ATATATATATATATATATATATATATTACAACAGAGGTGCACCTTTTAATCTCAAGATTCGGGAACTTGTGCCTTTTGTTTAGTTTGCCCATTTCTTTGAAAATCACATACAAGCATAAATAACAATAAACTTATATTAAAACTTACACCAGGAACAATTATTTACAAAATCAAAGTCGTTAAGAAGACCAGAAGTCCAAATTCAGTGTACAAGCTACAGTTACAGAACTAAGCTTTGCAAGCCATAACTCTCTAATTTAGCATATAATTTTGTATATTTTGTTCAGCAAGTTCTATGGTTATACAACTGTGGGGTTTTTAATGTTAGCCAGCATTTTGAAAACTAATCTCATATCAGTAACAAACAATGGCCAAGTCAATGCCATATTGGAAATTTGTATCAAACAACAATCAAGGATAAAGCATGATGGAAAGAAAATTAAATCATGTTAACTGTAACTTACTTGGTTTGGTAATTGTATGTGTGGTAATTGCATGGAAATAATAACTTGTGGGTTAAAGCATATTGTAGTGGCACATTCTATTGTTGTTTCCCTATTAAGCATAACTTCTTATTATTTATGTTAGCATTATAAATTTGAGCACTTTTCTTTTTAGTTTGTGTAAAGTATAATGAAACAATTTTACTATAAATTTATTTGAAAAATTAATTGTTGATTCTGCTTGCAAGTCATTGTTTCTTTTTGTCAAACTTGATTTCTAGATTTCGTTTACAAGACAGGTATCATATGCAGTTCTTGTTTAAAAGACTATCTAGAGCTTTGTTCATAGGGTACCTGTAAAGTTGGTGTTTAGACAAATATACCAGAAACTAAAGTCTGATCATCCCCAGAGTAATGTTCAATATAAAATCATCATTAAATTTTCTTTGCTAGTGTTCTTTAAAGCATTAGATACTTTCAGTTTTAGCAGGTATTTTAACTTTTACACCTAACAATTATAAAACATTTAAGGAATATGTCAGCTACTCTAATTCTGTCTACCCTTCATAAGATAACATAACTAAAAACAGTTAACTAGAAAAAGTAACACAGAATTTATATCAACTAACAGAGTACAAATAAGATTTCACATCATCAGTTTCAACAAAGATAAAAAGTTTTAAACAATAACTCATGCTTTTAGTTGTGGGGTGAAGAAAACAAAAACAACATCTAACATAAACTTACGAAGTGAAGCCCCTGAGCCCCGGACAAGATGAGTTGACATGCCATAGGCTCGAGCCTTTGCTCGTTTTGCAGCTGCCACATCTATGGCACTGTTTGATCGGAATGGGGAGGGAATGTAACCTTCTGGGAGAAAAAAAATAAACAAAAACAAAAAACGAACATAACTGAAACACCAACATGATTATACTTCAAGTCCCATGCAGAACTATTAATTATGTATGTATGTAATGCATCAATGAAAATCAAAATTGAAATGAATTATTCTGAGAATGAAGAATTTCTACAAAAATAATTGAATTCTCAGACAATAATAAATAAAAGATAATTATCTAGGCTTCGTACATAAAAATATAAAAAAAAGTATCTTGGTCATAAGCAGGCTCTAAATATCAAACTGTTCCAATATTACACTCCTACTTAGTATCTTTATAAAGAACTTCACAGGACAAATCTTTTATTAGCATAGGTCACTAAATTTGAAAAAGACAGAAAGGTTTACTATAATTTTCTCAGTAGCAGAGGAGGGGTTATATTATTAAAAACAAGGAAGGTGTTCAGTTGAAACATACTTTTCTTTGAACTTTGAACACAAATTTGTAAATGCATATTTTCAGACTGGTTGTTATTCTTAGAGAGTAGTAAGTTGGTTCTCAGCTTCTGCTTTACTGATGATGTGTTAGAGTAAATAATACTGTACGCAGTGTGTTTGGACCGATTGTTATTCTTAGAGAGTTATAAGCTCCTGCTTTACTGATGATGAGAAAAGCCTGAAATATTAGAATACTTGCATTTCTAACAGTCTGTTAAAAATTCGTTTTCTCGATCTCTAAAAGTCACTAATTTTATTTTAACATTATTTTGGATGTTTGCAATCTTTTTTGTGATTGTCAACTACCTAAATAAATTGGATTGTGAGAGTACTTTGGCATTTTCAGAGAGTTTAATTTCTGTGTACGCAAAATTAAGTCTGATGTGTAGTCTCCACTCTCTTACAGCTTCCTGTGAGAAGTCAATCTTAAGTCAGATTAACTCAGCTTACCCTCTTCTTTTATACTTCTTTAATTTATTTATATGATTTCATTTACTTTCAATCACAATAACTTGCTTTACAATTATCATTACATTTTCAATTGGTGACACAGTAAAAAAATCATAACTCAAAGTTTCTGCGCAATGTAAACTATGTCCTATGTAAATATGTAGTATACATTTTGATACAACTACACATTCACTTTTTAAAAACAGTATTGATTTTTTTCAGTTTCTGGTGTGTAAGCAAATACTTTAAGTGTATGATTCCAGGTGTTATGTCTGTCATGTAAATAAACACTGAAGTAGCTTTAATATACCACTAAAAACTGCTTCAAATGACTTTTGCATAGCACACACACACGCATATATAATTTTGTAATCTAGACACAATGATGCTGAAAATTTGTAAAAAATAATTCACTTTGAAACTAAACAATATTCCTTTCTTTCTGCATTTTTAATATGTAAATATACACTGATTTCTGGAATATTTACTCCGCACAATTAGTAATACAATCCATATAGCAGACTAACAACAGAAAAGTTTTAACAGAAAATATGAAAAGTCATTCATTCAACTATTGAATACCAAGCATGTTCATACACTATTCTGTTAAAGATGTGTGTATGCTGTGCATACTGTGAAACACAAAAACATGCACACTGAACATAAAAACCAACGGATGTCTTATTTGCATTTAGATACTTGTTTTTTCACTACACAACATGCAAAGCCAAACAGCTTGTTGCAAAGTAAATTAAGTTAACTTTCATACATGCCAAGTTGTACACGTTTTAAACCCGAGTATCAATATAATTAGTTTCCTTTAATAATCAAAATCATATGAGAAATTAAATCTTAATAAAAAATTAAACAAGCTTAAACTTTAAGGATAACATGGTAAGCCAACTTTAACTGATTTAAAGCTGTTTCCAAATTGTGAATTATAACACTATGATATATATTTTTAATTGTTTTTCAGTGTTATTAAGGATGGTAAGGTTTACTAAGGCCCTAACAATATATGAAGAGTTTAGAACAAAATGAAATGAAATATCTTTGGCAGTCTTATAACTTCCAGTCAAATGCTAACCTTAACCCAGCTTTACTTATAGTCAAAAACTTAGCTCATCTTACTCTCTTGCAATATGCAGTCAGAAGCCAATCATAAGGCAACTAATTCATCTTACCCTTTTGCAATTTGCAGTAAGAAGCCAATTAAAAACTAGCTAACTCAGCTTATCCTCTTAGAACTTTCAGTCAGAAAACAGGTTAAATCTGATTATCTTGTATTATCCTGACATTTTATGCTTATTTGATATAATATTCATATTTCTTGACTACTTATTTTTTGCAAACAATGGCTCATACTACTAATGTTCTTACATTGGTTGTAAATTTAAATTTAACTTTATATTTTCTAAACCTTTTAAGTAGGTTTGTAATGTTATTCGGTTACTCTAAACTTGAGGTAATTTTAAATACTATTTATCTACTATACATTTTCATGTTTTGTTTTTATTTTTACTTAGACCTAAATGAACTTGAAACAAATATTTTACAGAAGCATTTTCTGATTCTGAATGTGTCTCAGGCAAAAGCCATATGCAATAAATGTTCTAATATATAAACTTACTTGAATCAGTTTTTGGACTATTAAAAATTGGAATGCCAGACCTTCTTCCTGACGTTCGACTAAACAGAAATAGAAAGGTTTGACTTTATCTGAATATAACTCAAATGATTAATCCAGTTTGAAATCAACGAATAAATGAACTTCCAACCTATTCACTTACGAGTTAATTTTTTATGTAAAATTCTAGAGAATTTTAAAATAAACGGTCTTGTATTTATAAAAATATCTTATGGAAGTGGATTAAAGAATGCAAATGTGAATACAAATGTTATTTTCAAATAGCTATGGCTATTATGACATTAAGAGATCTCTCTCTTTCATACTCCACTGTAGTGAATGTTGCATTTGCTTGTCTTAAAGTGTTTGTAATGTATCATAACTTTCTTACATACATATACAGTAAACATGGTTGTCTTACAAAGGAATGGACTGTTTATACTTGATTTAATAATATGTCAAACCCATTTTAATGGTGAATTAACTGACATTGCAAAAAAAAAAGTTTTATCCTGTCTTTTACTATGACATCCCAAAAACAAGAATTACCCTACCCCAAAGTAACACAGCAGTGATGGGGTGGGGAGGTAAAATGCTGATTCAAAAGTGCAAATGATGTAGAAAGGTTAATTCAGACAAAAATAAAAACATTAGAAATGATTATTTTTTTCAGATGAACAGCTGTGGCTGGCATTACCAAGTCAAAATATACAGAAAAATATTAAGACAAGTGTTGTAATATAATAATAACCAAGTGAAACATTGACAAAAAATGATTTTCCCTTTCTGATACAGAAACTTTAAATATTTCTTTAGATTTTAATAAATTGTCACATTATAGACACATTTATTTGTTATTTGTATCATAATAATGAATAAAGTGCACACTTAAAAAATCACCCTAAAATACAGTGAACAGAAAATATATGTTTCAGGAAATTAAAGCATTTATTATATGAGCATGTAGTAGAACTTTAGTGAGAGACTGTATTAGTTATTACTGATACAATGATATTCACAAAGAGTTCTTCAATCCTGGACTCAGGCCTTAACATTAGAATCAGCTAAACTTTCTAGCACAAGGTTGAAACTGACAAATGAAAAATCAGTAAGCATATCTGCCCTTGAGAGTTGTGCAAGAATTTAAAAATCCTAAAACTGTACATGATCCATGGAAATTTATTTAATATCACTGGATGATGAACCACAGAGTTGATCTCAGGGATCTTTTTCAACTGAAATAAAGCAGATGCAAAGAACTAATAAGAGTATAAATGTGAAAGATGAATTATTGGTGATATGTCAGCTCCAAGATAAAAAATAGCAGTTATGAATATCAAAAATGAATCCAAGTTTGATTGAAAACATATAAAATAAACTATCCTAGCCATTTACTCACGATTATATAAATCTGTAGTTAACTGTTCCAGTAATCTATTCATCATTACTATACTTAATTAATTCCTGATAGATTATTTCACACTGATGAATGGACATCTGGGATTAATTACTTTATAAAAGCACCCAGATTATGGCTTTGTAACTTTTTTTTTATCCTAAGTGATTTATTAGTATTACAAATGCAAACTAAATGTTACATTAGGATTTTATTCCAAAAATAATGCCAAATGTTTTCCAAAACTTATCTTGAAACACATACTAATATCGGACCTGAAATCTACAAAGCTAAATGCAGAGAAACTACAAATCATTCTTACATATATGTTGTTGCTACTCTTTCCCTATGAGAAAGCCCACTTCAAGTTGTTAAACAAGAAAGACTTCCTCTTCTTCTCCAATCAAGGTTAGTTTAACCAAGATTATTTTGGAAACAAGGTCACAATATTCATTATAGTCAACCAGCAAGGCTAGTCTCTCAACTCAGACATCATAATCCTTAGGACATGTCATATTCAACTGCAATACATTTTCCAATTATGTCTTGTGTAGAACCAGAAAATGTCTAATTTTATGCTTGCTATATGTGACCACTGTGTTTGCAAATAAAGACCTTTGATATTGTCTCAGCTATTAAAATGACTGTGAAACAGAATATGAGACTTCAAACAGTGTGCTGAGATTTATCATGCCCATCATATAACACCTACAAAGCACTCAAACATGCAAAGTATCGTTGTATCTCCTGACAACACACCACAATACTATCATTATTACTTAAAAATTAGAATAAAATATATTTAAATACAATATCAATCACTGACCACAGAAACTAAAGCTAAACCTAGTCATTACTAAATCTATTTGCTACATCTTATCATAAGAATGAAATAATAAATTCAGTCCACTGAACTTGACTACATAAACCAGATGGCACTAGTTTGTGAAAATTCTACTTTGAAATTAATTGTAATTTTTCCATTTGTTATTAGAATAACATGGTAAATAGTTTATTAACACCACCACACCTGTGTGGAGAGGCCAAGTCTGCTTTTACCACCTCAAGAGTGATCATCAAGGGAACTTTTAATTGCAATGATTATTAACTTTAAAAAGAATTATTTAACCCCATAATAGCACATAAGTAAGGGAAGTGTTAACACAAAGCCACAAGCTGTTTATAAAGGCTAGCAAAAAAAGGCAAAATTTTGTCACGTGTGTATCAGTAAACTGGAAGATGACATGGCACATCAAATATAAAAACTAACAATAAGCACATCCCACTGACACTCCCATGTGTGGAAGACTTAAAAAGGCAGTATTTGATATGAAATAAAAGTATGCATTTAAGATTATTGAATTATTTTATTGATATCTTAAGCAAAATATTATTCATTTTTCAAAGCTTCATTTAAACATATTCATATCATTTCATTGCGAACAAAACATTATAAAACCTATACATGTATATGTTAAATTATTTCTTTTAAAACATAGAATGTTTCTTCTCACCTGAGATTCTCAACAGAACCAGTAGTGCTAGAGCTACCATGACGAATACTTCCACTTTTACCGGTACCACTCAGGGAATTGTTACTAGAAGAGCTACTCAAGGACAAACCACCTTGCAGCATGCGTTGCTTGCTACTGTCTAGAGAGCTGAGGAGACTATCGGCCTGTTCCTTAAAGTGGTCTGCAAAACCCCAGAAGGCCCTAAAACAAAGTACAAGCTAAGTTTGTATGTTGTTTTTTGGTACATAAATGTTAATACTCATTAAAAAATAATCAAAGAACCTGAATAGATTCCTTAAAAAAACTAGTTTAAGTGATTAGCTTGAAAATTCACAGAAAAATGGATTCATAATGTCAAGTTAAAGTTTGAGATGTGTCTGCTCAGCTCAGCTAAGGAATTTTTTCTTCTCACTCCATATTGTTACCTTACCTAAGTACAGTGGTTAGAAACAATTTTTCTTTTTATCATTTCAGAATTTTGCACAAATCTATGCCAGGGCTATCTGCACACAGTCTTCCATAATTTTGAATTGATAGACCAGAGAAAGCTGTAGTGAGTCAATAGCACTCGCAACTTAAAACAGTTATATAGTAGATAAATAGCAAACAAAGAACAGGTTTGTAAAATAAAGCAAAGAAATGAAAGCTATTACAACAGAGTTTGGTTTTTGAATACTCGCATAATGACATATATATTTAAAATATGTACAAGCGTGTGCTGAACAACCTGGGAAACCACAAGGACTTTAGAAAAGAAAGTTTTTATTCAGTAGTGTAAATATGCTACAGATGTAACTTATTTAATCTGAAGAGAGATAAAAAGCACATACTACAGAATAATATGGTGTCATACGTCTTGTCACTTAGAGAGACATGCCTATGTATGAGGCTACAAATAATAGATACTCATGTGATATCAGAACCTGTACACAGAAGTTTAGCCCTACAACAAATTATTTCATTAACCCTATCGCCATGGGTACCCTTTACTGCGCATGACACAAGGTTTTAGTGTCTTACATTAAAAATTTATTAAACTACTTTTTGTTTATGTTATACCAATTAGAATAGCATAAAATCTTAGCTAATAATCCATATTGTAATAGTATATAAGTTTTAAGTTCTTTATTCTACAAGGCAATATTAAAATGAAATCCTGAAATTCCCATACTGTGGCACATTTTCTCTAGGCATCTTGTCTCCTCTATTTTATCCACCACCCCTTGGAAAAGTAGGAAATTAAACGTAAATTACTCACTATAAAATCGTCATTGCTCATACAAACCATATTTTTTTATAGTCTTAAATTTTGTTTGGTTACAGAGCTATCGAATATAAAAATCACACTCCTCCTGCCACATCCTCTCTTTCAGAATTTGTTAATAGTTCTCTCTTAAGTTTAATTATATATTACCTATAACCAATAGAAAGTCAAGGTTTTTATCTATCAACTGACATATTGTATAATGTTATGTTCTGAATGGTTAAATGTCAATTTCACTCAGAATACCAACATTGTTCCCGTGATAAAGTTAACGACTATCTTGGATGAATTTGTAACAACTCTTGTTGCACAGTTAGAAAGCCAGAACAATTTTGAGAGGTAAGGGAATTTGTCTACTTTTTGCATGTTATTAGTCTATATTGTTTGTTGCATCATTTAATTAAATAAAAATAATTAAGTGCATTACTATCATTAGTATATAATAATTAGGGTTAACTCTCTTCGACAATTGACAGCAAGAAAAAAGAAGATTGGTTAAGTATTTTATTTCTTGCTCGTCATGTTTATTCTTTAGGTATAACTATAAAAGTAACTAAAATGTAAAAATAGGGAACCTTTCAGGTTAGTTAAAATAAATAATATTATAATGAAAATGTTTCACAAGGTACACACACCAGCAGCTCATAATAGCTTGTGAGTAATGTAATTCATTAGCATAGCATGTTCCCTGAGTGAGTTACAACTTATAATGGTGCAGATAGTAGCTAGACACGATTCAAAGGGCAATAAAAAGGACAATAAAACTATAAAATTTAAATATAAATAGATGTATACTATTACAAAGTTAGAGCTACTTAGGATAAACGAATGTAGTTTCATGTTACAATTTTAAGTCATTCTGGAAAGAAAAATGGGTAATTTAAGTTTATTTCGATTTTTTATGGTGGTTACGAGGTCTGTCAATTCGACCGATCTCATTTTGAGATAGGGTAGAGAAAATAACGGATAAACTATAAAGTTTTACTGAAAAAAAACAAAAAACATTTAGGAGGTTTTAGGAATTATAACAAAGGAAATTTGAGATTTTTGAAATGAGGAAAAGAATTTTTTTTAACATGAAAATTACTTTTCACATGGACTGTTCAAAACAAATACTCAATATATTCTTGGAAAAATCTATATTTTATTTTATTAAAAATACTTCACTAAAAATATGATTTTTTGTATGTGAAAGATTTATAGTATTAACTGAAAGACTGCCAAATTTTGTGAAGATATACATATTATATTGAAAGTTAGAAGTATTAAATCTATAAAGACTTTAAACGAGTACAAAGAGCTTATGTGGTTGGTCAAATTGACCGAGCCCGTGCTGAGGGAGTTAAACAGAAATAAAATTCAAAAATATTTAATCAGAGGTATGAATATGGTGTTTGTAACTAAAATTTAAATTCTAATGATCATAATAACTTGTCAATGGAAACAAAATTTCATATAAGTCTTGTTCTACAAATACCGCATAACTAATGTATAACAATTGCATCAAAAGTTATCAGTTTTTCATGCCAGACATTTAAAAAAATTAATGACACATTATAATTATACTATGGTAAAAAAAAGGAAAGAATATGGTAAAAAATGTCTCTTCAAAAAGCAATTTTTTCTTACTTCCTTGAATATGCTCTTGCTTCAGGGTCAGCATCACTTAAGCCTTTCCTGATTGCTTCTTGAAGTATAGCAATGTGTCTCTCTAATGTATGAGTTGGCCAGGTGTGAAGCAGTTGGTCTAAAAACTCGCAGCAAACTCTGCAAATGTACAATAAAGTTACCAACAGTTTATTTCTGTATCCACAAAACAAAACAATCATTCCTTACTTACAAATAACACTTTTACCCTGATATTATAAATACTGCTAGAACTCAGTCATTCATTTTCAGTATATTTCTTGGTAAACAATAAATGCAATTACAGATACGTTTTTCTTCTACTTTTTTATTACTGCGTGGAAATAAGAAGTCACCCTTTTATTGTAACATACACAAACACAATGATTCAAGAAGAAACTTACTCTGTTCAATGGACTTAACATATAATTTCCCTCTACATACTAATTAAATATGGTATATGAAAGAAATCATGCAGTATCTGAGCTCCTGAACTCATTTTGAAAATTTCTATTACAAGACAGCAGTACAACCCTTCTGTTAACATTAAAACTTTAATCATGATAGTTTATTTTACTTCATTCTACAACCATAACATAAAGATACAAGAAAATATACAAGTCATAACAACTGGCAATGCTATATTTAACACACACACACACACACACACACATATATATATATA